TTGTTTGTCCAATCCAGGATCCTGTCCAGGACCATGCGTTATAATGATGTGCCTCACGTCTCTCTTACCCTAGCACAGGTCCCTTTTCCTGTAGGGCCTCCCACTGTGGAGTCCAGGCCATGATCCTGCAGAGTCCTGCCTTCTGGACTTAGCCAGTTGCTTTCTTTCGGAGCTGCTTACCTGTTACATAGGCCTCTGTGCTTCCTAAAACCGAAAGTTCCATCTAAGACTTGATGAGTTCAAGTTAAAAATTTGGGGCTAGACAGTATGTGTGTGAGCTTCATAGCATATCACATCAGGTGCCAGACACTGGGTGAGCCACTAGAACTGATGTTCACGTTGGCCCAGATTAGGGTGGTGGCCGTGGTCCTAAGATCTCTCCATTTTACATTTTTCCTCTTCCAACCAGAAAATAGCCTATTACTTTGGCACCATAAGAATGTCCTTCTCCCTCATTTTTTGGAACACCATTTGATAATCCTTGCTTGTGCCAATAACTTTATTAGTAAATCAAGTAAGTATTATGGTTTTCAGATCCTCACCTTCAGTGCTGACCGTTGCCCCTCCCTATCCATCAAAATGTTGCACCCTGGGCGTTCCCTCACCCCTTGCCTTGTTCTCTCAGCAAATGAGAATGGCCAAGGAATCCAGAAGTGAGAAAAGTCAGCCTGAAGACTAGGAAGAAAGGAAGTGTGGGCCCTGCAGGATAGCGTCCACTGAACTGGGCAGGCTCAGGTGGGCCCCAGGTGGATGACGTTTCCACACAGTGGGAAACGTTGTGTTGACAGAGCAGGATGGTCCTCATTCACAGACCTTACCCTAATGGCTGGCTCTCCTCTGACCACCTCTTGCAGGGTGACTCCAGGCTGGGGAGCCCCAGTTTAATGAGCCTGAGGTTCTGACCCTATCACATCACCAGTGCCTCACAGGCACAGCACCAGGACCTGAAGTAGCTCCCCAGGGAGATTTTGGGTGCCCAGACTCTTCCCTGGGGCTCCAAGGACAGTGGGGGGTCACTAAGGAGGAAGCAAGGGGTAGCCCCTCTTAGCCAGCATTGCCCTTCTGAGGATTCACAGCCCCGGGTGTCTGTGACTGACGCATCACCTGCCTCTCCTTTCCCACAGTGTGTGAGAGCTTTCGCTGTCCCCAAGTGCAGTGTGGCCTGGGCACTGCCCTGGTGGAGGTGTGGAGCCCCGACCGCTGCTGCCCCTACAAGTCCTGTGGTAAGTCGGTGGTCAGGACAGCCCCTCCAGCTGGAGATCCAGTAGCCCTGCTGAGGAGAGGGGCTGGGGGAGCCCTGCCCACCACTGTCCACTTTTCTCAGATCCATCCCCTGCAGAGTCTCTAGCAGAAGCCCCAGAATCAGCTTCCTCCTGCATCGGCTCTCTGAGTGCTGAGTGTTCCTACAGACTTTTCCCTCTAGGATAAAAGAAGGAAAAAGCAAGTTGCCCATTCCAAAGAGGGTTTACATCTTAAAAAGTCCTTACAGCAGCCACCTTTAACAAAAACAATTTTTTTATGAGACGAAGTTTTGCTCTTGTCACTCAGGCTGGAGTGCAATGGTGCGATCTTGCTCACCACAACCTCCACCTCCTGAGTTCAAGCGATTCTCCTGTCTCAGCCTCCCAAGTAGCTGGGATTACAGGCATGTACCACCACACCCGGCTAATTTTGTATTTTTAGTAGAGTTGGGGTTACTCCATGTTGATCAGGCTGGTCTCAAACTCCCGACCTCAGGTGACCCACCCGCCTCGGCCTCCCGAAATATTGGGATTACAGGTGTAAGCCACCACGCCCTGCCTCAAAAACATAATTTTTGTTAAAATTCACCTCACATCCTTTTGGGAAACAGGTGGGAATGTCAGTGATCAATAATAAAAACCAGTGAATTTTATATAAAAATGTGATTTTTAAAGAGTCAAGAAGCTCTATTTTGCATCTGGATATTTTGTGTGTCTTTTTCCAGGCTTCACTGGAATGTAAACTTCATGAAGGCAGGGATTTTAGTCTGTTTCATTCATTGCTATGTCCCCAGAGTACAGAATAAAGCTCAGTATATAGTAGATGCTTAAAACTATTTGTTGCATGAATGAGTGACTCAGAAGAGTGTTCACAGCGACTCTGGCCTGGAGTGCTCAGACCCTGATGCAGCTGGAGCAGTGGACTCTTAAGTTTGTTAGCAGTGCTCAGCCATCAGCTCGCTCACAGCTAAGACCTGCTATGGGGAAAGGCTGGGAGCAGCAAAACTGAGCTTGCGGGAACATGGATGTGGGAAATGTAGGTGGTCAGAAGTTCCACCCGTGCCATGTTTATTCCCGGAGAGGCCCTGCCTCTGCTCTAGAATAGGCTCTGGACCAGGTGGAAGGATGAATCCAGGTGACAAAAGGAAACCTGTGATTGGCCCACCTGTCTATATTTATCCTTACTCCACACCCAGTGGAGAGCTTGGTGTTCAGAAACCATCACTGCTCATCTGCCTAACCAGGGGAGCTGCAGGCCTCCTTCTGCCTCCAGGGATGGAAGGAGGCTGATCTTTGGGCCTCTTCCTCTCCTCTCCCAGGCCTGGCCTGGAGCTGGGGATTCAGAGGAGGGTGTGTGCCAGCAGTGAGAGGTCCAGGGTACCCAGGGGATTTCCACCTGGACATCTCTGATGAAGTGGGGCCTGGTCCCTTGTGTTTTTCAGAGTGTGACTGCGACACAATCCCAGTGCCCCGGTGCCATCTGGTATGGAGACCTCCTCCAACACTCCCTGGTCTGCTCCCCTTTCCTTTCCTCTCTATCCCCTTCCCTAGAGAACCTGCTCCTTTAATCTACTACAAGGAACCCAGGGTTGCAAGTCAGCAGTCTTATCCCAGCCTCCGCCACTGGCTTTCTGGGTATGGTGCCCTCCTTTGTAAAGTGGGCATAATCATGCTTTAGAGTTGTGGTAAGGATTAAGTATAATGATGATGATGAAAATTATCATGAAGGTGATGGTGATGATGCTGATGGTGGCAATGATGGTGGGGACAGTGAGGATGGTGGTGGTGGTGACAATGGTGATAGTGCAATGATGATGGTGGTGATGGGGATGGTGAGGATGATGGTGGTGGTGATGGTAATAACACAGTGGTGATGGTGGTGGTGGAGACAGTGAGAATGATGTTGATGGTGGTGATAGTGATAATGCAGTGGTGATGGGGACGGTGAGGATGATGGTGGTGGTGATGGTGATAATGCAGCGGTGACGGTGGTGGTGGTGATGCTGGTGGTGGGGATGGTGAGGATGATGGGGATGGTGATGGTGATAATGCAGTGGTGATGGTGGTGATGGGGACGGTGAGGATGATGGTGGTGGTGGTGATGGTGATAATGCAGTGGTGATGGTGGTAGTGGGGATGGTGAGGATGATGGTGGTGGTGGTGAAGATGATAATGATGATGATGACAATGACAATCATGACAGTAGCTGATGTTTATTGAGAGCTTACTAAATGCCAGGAACTTTCCTAGGCCTTTCGTGTATTATTTATTCTCACGACAACCCAATGAGGTTGATTCTATTGTTTTCTCAATTCTGCAAATGAGGAAGCCAAGGTTAAGGTCATGAAGCTAGTATATCACAGAGCCAGGGCTGACACCCAGGAAATCTGTCTCTAGAAACCATGCCCTTAGCCACCAGGCTGCATGGCCACTGAGGGAAGTGAAAATACTTTAAGAAATGTGAAGTCATTTTACAGTCCTTTTCTGAATTATATGTAACCCTCCCCACTCCAGCACACATTTCCTCTCACTCTGTCTGCCATCCCTCTCCTCCTTCTCTTAAAATTGCTGAAGAAAGGTGAGAAGTAGTGTGAGCCAGCCGGGGCTTTGTCCCTCACTGAGAAAGGGGAGGACACTGGATGGCATTCCTCATCAGGGAGGCCCAGGGACTAAGCTTCCAGGGTGCTGAGGGGCCCCAGGCCTGCCAGCTCCCCCTCCTGCCCACCACAGGGAGGGACTGACATAGAGAGGGCCCAGGTGGCAGACTGCTCCTGAGGGCCAGGCTGTCCCCGACCCTGGGGTGCTGACTGCCTCTGCTCCACCCAGTGGGAGAAATCCCAGCTGGACGAGGAATTCATGCACAGCGTGGAGAATGTGTGTGGCTGCGCCAAGTACGAGTGTGGTGAGTGGGGGAAGCCTCAGGGGAGAGGCAGGCTTGGGGGGTGCGGGTGTCTGGGCTCTGGACAACCCTGGCCACCCTGCATGCCCATCCAGTGAAGGCCCCGGTGTGTCTGAGCCGCGAGCTGGGCGTGATGCAGCCGGGCCAGACAGTGGTGGAGCTCTCGGCAGATGGCGTGTGCCACACCTCCCGCTGCACCACCGTGCTTGACCCTCTCACCAGCTTCTACCAGATCAACACCACCTCGGTGCTGTGTGACGTCCACTGCGAGGCGGTAGGGTGCAGCCCAGGGTAGGTGGGTGGGGTCAGGAGGGCTGCCCTGGCAGACTCCGGGTGCTCCAGGAACCAGAGGGGCCCTTAAAGCTGGCCTGCGCCCCCAAGACAAGTCAGAAGGGCCCTCAGAGACCTCTGTAGAAAGTACCGAGAAAGGGACTGGATTGGGAGAGGCCAGGAGGGGAACAGTAAGGGACAGATTTAGGGCCTGGCAAGGGTGGGTGTTGAAAGAGAGAGCACACACTTATTAGGTGCCTGCTGAATGCCTGGCACATTCCCTGTTCCTTTGGTTTGCATGTCTGTGTTGCTACTATTTGGGGAGTACTTCATATCCAGGACTTAGGATGGTGACTGGCTTCTAGTAAGGGCCAAATAGATATTAGCTGGATAAAGAGGGTGAGAATTATTCCCATTTTTCAGAGGGGAAAACTGAGGTTTAGGGAGCCTGTCATTTGTCCAAAGTTCTACAGGAACTGAGACTCAAATTGAGGTCTGTCTAGAATAAAAACTGGCATCCTTACTTACTAGAAGTGCCTTTGAAAGGGTGGAGATGCTCTTTGCTATAAGGGAGGCTCGGGGTAGATAAAGGGTGACTAGCTGCCTGAGAGAGAAGAAGCCTGGGAGCTCCTCTTCCCGAGCACCTACAGAGGGCCCTTCCGGGCTCTTGGATCCCTCACAGATAAGCAAGCAGTAGGAGAGCCAGGGTGGAGGTGGCAACTGGCTGAGGCCCACCCCACCCTGGCCTGCAGAACCAGGAGTACGAGCACCCGCGGGATCTCGCTGCCTGCTGCGGCTCCTGCAGGAACGTGTCCTGTCTCTTCACCTTCCCCAATGGCACCACCTCCCTGTTCTTGGTAAGAAGCCCCCTTGCTGCCCACCGGGGAGGGTGTCCCAGGAGGGAACACCAGGACTAGAGCCCTCTCTGGCTCCCAGGCCAGGGCTGGGTACAAACAGGCTCCCAGACTCTATGGGTTTGCTCAGGCTGTCCATCTGATCACAGCCCCTATCACCCACTTCTGTGCCCTCCAGCCTGGGGCATCCTGGATCGCAGACTGCACCCGCCACCACTGCAGCAGCACTCCCCTGGGTGCCGTGCTTGTCCGCTCTCCCATCAGCTGCCCACCGCTTAACGAGACCGAGTGTGCCAAGGTCTGTGCCTCCTTTTCCACTGAGGCCAGGGACAAAGGCCAGGGCATCCGCTGTCTCACTGGTGGTGGGGTGGGGGTCCTGTGTGCAGGAGTGTGGGAGGAGGGGCTCCCTGGAGCCTGTGCCTGCACTGCCACCCCAGATCCACATCGCTGTGTCTGCATTTCTTTTTGCCCTAACCACATCACACCCTGCCTCTTCACACATCACATGACCACATGCAGATGCACACACACACACACTGTTATATGTTCTGGGCACACTCAGATAGACACCAACACAGGCTACCAGTCACTCACACCATGTACTCCAGGGACATTCACACTCGGCATGTCAATGCACACACCAAGTGTCATCACACCCCAAGGCACTCACATAAGCACACTCTTGCACACATGTGCCATGCAGATGCACAGTTCAGTCCTGTGATGGCTCGTGGGTGTCTAGCACTAGCATGGACAGCTGTCAGTGTGGGCACACCTCAGAGAAAAGGATTTCCTGGAAGGCTTGGGGTTGTTGTTGAATTATTAAAGTCCCTAAGATTAATAGTGGACATTTAAAGATTTCTGATTCTTCCCTAGAAAACAAATATATACACATTCTTAATAACACTCTCATACACACACCCACACATGCAAAATCACACATGTACACACAGATGCTCATATATATGCTCACAAAATCACATACACATACTGGGACCCCCCGAAACACACACACTTATGCACAAAGAACTGTCCCATCCATTGTTTTACCCATTTCAGTATAGAGGAGGAGAGCTTTATGGGATACTTGCCTCCATTTTAGAGATGGAAAAAATAAGCCTAGAGGGAAAGGATGACTTGTTTGGGGCTGAGGTAGAGCCCAGGCCACTGACCCAAGTGGGTAAGCCCTGCACCCCTCCCCTCCCTGACCCTCTGCTGGGAAGCACTGGTGGTGCGGTAGGCAGTGGAAGGTGTGAGGGGAGCTGCCCCAGGAAAGATAGGAGGCCCTGCACCACCTTGACCCAGGCTCCAGCCCCAAGGGGGCCATGTGCAACCTTAGTGCCAGCTGTCCCCACCGGTCAGCTTAGCCCCCCTGGCTCTCCTATGGCCTGACAAGGGGCCTATGCTCCTGGCCTGGGGCGTCTCAGGGAAAGAAGAGTCAAGACTCCTGTACTCTGCCTGTTTCTGGGATCTTGGCTCTGGGCCTGGACAGGGGTCTCCACACCTACCTTCCCTAACCTCTCCTCTCTAGGTTGGGGGCTCCGTGGTACCTTCCTTGGAAGGATGCTGCAGGACCTGTGAGTGAGCATGGTCGGCACCCAGGGGTGAGGGGCTCTGGTGGGGGCACAGGGTGTCATGTTAGGGAACAGAGGACCAAGTTCCTGGCCTGGCACCTAAAATGCTAGCTCTTCAGGGCTGAGTAGATGAAGGGATAACAGCCTCACCATGGGTCTCATGGCACTGGCACAGATATGCAGGTGGCCAGAAGCCATGTTTGTGTCCTTGTTCCCATATAAAGACTCTGCTTCTTGTTGGAGCCAGAGGACATTGGGGCATGGCATTCAGGAGGTCAGTAGCTCACCAGTTACTCTGCCTCCTCCTGCCTCTGCCAAGGCCCCCAACCCGGATGCCCCCACGTGCATTCTCCCTGTGGTCAGACGCCCTGATCTTGGAGGAGCCTCCTGGGTGGGATTCGGGCCTCCAGGGCCCCTGACTGAGTCTGAGTGCGAGCTCTGTGCTGATACCTGGCTCCCAACCCCTGGCCAGCCAGAACCACAGCTCCCAACCGCATGCACATGCACGTCCCAGTCAGCTGCCGCTTTCCACCACCTTCAGTCCCCACCCACATCTTCCCCCTGGGTCTGCCCTCCTCCTAGGGTGCTCAGACCCCATCTTCAGAAGGCAGTAGAACCTGGGGCCCTGTTATGTGCAGTTCGCATATTCCAAGAAAGCTGGGCTTGGGGCCTCATTGGCTGATCCCTGACCCACAAACTCATGTTCCCTGAATGTCCTATGTACCCCTGTGTGACCTGCACCTCATGTCCCTGTCCTCAGGTTCCCCGGGGACCCTGTTTCCTGTGGTCCCCGTTAGTCCTGCCTCTCCTCTACGGGTTAGTGTCCACTGCCGCCCAGGTACTCTTCTCAGAAGCCCACTGGACTGGAGGCAGGCAGCTGCATTGCTATGTCCAGCAATGTCCCTTCTGCTAGGTGGCCTGAGCTCTGGGGGCGGTGGGGGGGGCCTACTCTCCCCTCTGGCACAAGCCATTGGGCCCACAGTGCATGCTGGGTAGTGAGCTGTATCCCCTGGGCTTGCATGGGAAAGCTTCAGCAGGGCCCGCTCACCTGGACTGCCCTGGACCGCCACCACTTTGCTCTGCTGGTCACTCAGCCAGTCTCAGTCCAGGACCCAAAGGGCCATGTCAAGACAGCCCTTAGTTTTCCTGCCTTCTGGAGCAGAGAGGGAAGACAAAGTGGACTTAGCTCTGGCCAGAAATCATCTAGCTGCTGTAGTAGGAAACCTCTATGGTGAGGCGCTGAGACCAGAAGAAAAGATTTCATTCAATTTCTAGAGGGATTCCTGGGGTTACAGAGTGAGTCTATGTACCTGACAAATATTTGTGGAGCTCCAACTATGCGCCAGGCACTGTTCTAGGCACTGTAGAGCCTTGCGGAGCTGACATTTAGAGGGAGAGACAGAATAACAAGTATAAAAATATATACGAGTACAAATATATATATGGATGCATTGAGTTTTGTGGGGCCTGAAGCTTATGCAATGCAGGGGGCTTCTATAAGAAGAATACAGAATGTACAAATTCACATTAAGGCATGAAAGGAAATATTTATTTAAAATAAGAAAAGACCTTACAACAAATTCTGGAAGGGGCCTGTGCAAAAGAAGGCCCTAAAGCTTCTGATTCAACATCGTAATTCCAGATGTGTCTCTGTCAGGACAGTGATTGTGCCCTGGACATATAAGCAAGGGAGGGGTTATGGAGGGAGGACTGGGTGGAGGCAGTGAGTTGCAACTTCGAGAAGGGGGATCAGGTAAAGCCTAGGAGAGGAGATAGCCAATTGCTGAAGGAGGTGAGGGCGTGAATAAGCCACAAGCCTGCCTGTCCTGTGAGAGGCTGGTCCAGGCAGAGGCAACCCGCACTGGTTAATTTCCATCCCTGTAACAGCTCTGTTAGATGGGCGAATCCCTGGCCCGGTTCGAAACTAAACAAAGCATCCTACTAGCGTGAAGCATTCCACTTGAGATGGGGGTTTCTCTTCATTCAGGAAATTACAGAATCTTAATGCTAGAAGCCCTCTCAGGATGGGAAAATGCAGAGAGGGGTAAGGGTTAGGTTGCCAACACAGCTTAGAGACCGGTTTTGGGGCTGGGGTCGGGAGGCAGCCTCACTCTGTCCCCAGATGCTCCTCTGCCCTAGCACAGAGTCCTCGCGGGGGCCTGTGGCCTAGGCCTCCTGGGCAGCTTCCTGCCTCACTGGCTCACACTGCTCTGTCTCTGCCTTCCTGACCCTGCCTCCTTCCAGGGCATTGGGTTAAAAGGCTTTCCCCAATGGGGAGGGGCGCTAATGCATGGGTGCTAACGCTGGAAGAGAGACCCTCCAGCATGACACTAACTGCCCTGGGCTGGCCCATCCTGCTGCTCCCAAGAAGCCTGTCTTGGCCACAGCTACCTCGTCCCCTGTCCTACCAGGTAAGGAGGATGGGCGCTCCTGCAAGAAGGTGACCATCCGCATGACCATCCGCAAGAATGAATGCAGGAGCAACACCCCTGTGCGTGGTGCCCACAAGGCAGTGGGGCAGCAAAAGATGGGATGGGGGGATTGGGGGTGTGAATGCCACAGACTGCCTCACTGGCCTTCCCATTCCAGGTGAACCTGGTGTCCTGCGATGGGAGGTGCCCGTCCGCCAGCATCTACAACTACAACATCAACACCTATGCCCGCTTCTGCAAGTGCTGCCGCGAGGTGGGCCTGCAGCGGCGTGCTGTGCAGCTCTTCTGCGCCGCCAATGCCAGCTGGGTGCCCTACACTGTGCAGGAGCCCACCGACTGTGCCTGCCAGTGGTCCTGAGGCCTGGGAGCCCCGGCTGGCTGGACCACCTCTGCCGCCCCAACTCTGTTTCCAGTTGGCCCAGTGAACGGGGATATTAAAGGTGGGAGAAATCTGGCCCTTGCTGAGCATGAAGTGGTGGCCAAAGGTCACAGGAGTGACCAGAATGGGTCACCCCTGTCCACCCTGGCTCCCTTTCTGGGCTCCCCATTTTCCACAAGTGGGAAAGTGACACAGGTGTGTGCTCAGGGAGCTCACCTCTGTCTCTGGCTTGAGATGGAAAATAGGCTTTAGGTCCAGGGGCAGCAGCCTCTGAACTTCTGAACCCTGGTCACAGCTCTTGGTGGAGGGGATGAGAGTTGTGGGCAGGTACCTACATGGGTACCACAAGACCAAGCACAGGGGCAGGCTTCAGTGGCCCATTCTCTTGGCCTTTTTGACTACAGAAGTGAAGGGAAAGAGGGCTGTGCCTGCAGCACTCAGGCCTGCAGATCGCTGCCCAGAAGAGTTCCCAAAAGCAAAGATGGTAGATTCCAGGGCCCAGGTCCTCTCACCGAGATCTGTGAAGTCAGAGTGAGCTCAGTGACCTTCACATCCCCTGTAGTCCCAAGAAAGGTGCCTGGTGTCCTGGCATTGATATGGTAATTCAGGAAAGGATTTGGAAGACTCAAGCTGTACCTTTACCCCAAGACAACCTTCCCAGCAGGTGGCCGGCCTTGTGAGGTGGGGGGGGAGGGTGAAACCCTCAGCGAGGGCCCAGCACTACTCATTTAGGGTGCTGATCGGTGGCCCATGCCTCGAGGCTCTAGGTTGCTGAGGGGGTTCCTTCAGCCTGTAAGTGCAGCTCCAGGCTTTGCAGTGCGCCATTTCTCCAAGGCCATGAAAGTCAAGCTCAGAGAAGCCTGAATGTGGGTTTTGTGGCTCAGCCAGTGCCAGCGTCTGTGCACCATGGGACTGTTTAGCAAGAGAGTGTCTGTTGGCATCAATGGAAAACACAGCCCCAGCATCCCTGAGCACTTGTGAACTGAGCCTTGTCACTCAACCAGAGTGTCCCCTAAAGCCAGGGCCACAGCCCCTTCCACAACCCATTCTGCAAGTCTCCCACCCCTGTGCCACTTTGTGCCATGTAGATCCAAAGGGCACGAACATGAAGTTGTGCAGGCCCCAGCACTGCCCAGTGTGTCTGAAGATGTGTGGCCTGGATGCCCCTTGCAGTGAGGAGGCTGTGCCAGGATGGTCCCCTGCTGTTCCCAAGCTTCTTTGTGCCCATATTTGTGTTCTGTTTATGTGTCAATAAAGGAAGACTTCAGGTCTTTGAGCATCTCTGAGAGGGCCAGGTTTGCTTTGAACTTGAAGGAGTATCCACTGTGAAGACTCTATTTTATGGCCCTGGACATCAGCATCATGCCCCACTCACAGCAGAGCCATTGGTGGGTGTTTGCTGGTTGGAATTGAATGGACTGGAGACTGGCTTCTAGAGGAAGGGGATGAGGAGAAGGAAGAGGACACTGGGAGCTGGGGTGCTGGCACCCAGGCGAAGGACTGAGGAGTGATCATGGTTCTGTGGGCTGAGACAGATGCTTCTCACATGAGGTGTGGATGAGGCAGACCCAGAGAGTAGGTTTCATATTGGCCTCAACATTTCTCTGTTTCTTTCCTTGTTGTTCTCCCAATGAGTTCAGTACATTTTTGCAGCCATGCGAGCTATGCTAGGGTTAGGGAGCATCCAGGGATCGGTTCTCAGTGACATTCCACCTGTGAAGGACCATTGGAACACCTAAGGAGCAAGTGGGTGGGTGCTTTCCTGGTGTCCATGTGGGAAGGAGGAGGAGGTGGGCTAGGAAAGCAGCCCTCAATAATAGGGGAAACTGCTAGGGGAGTCAGGGCTTACAGTGCAAGTGCTTCACCCTGCCTAGAGAGGGCAGAACATCTTTTTTTGAACTAACACTTGGAAGGCTTGGTTTTTATTTCATAAGTAAGCTCTTCTCATGGTGCATCTGTCTGATAACATGGACCCTGTGTCTTTTCCTAATGAAAATGAATTTTCCTAATGAAGCTTTAAGGCTTCCTAAGCAGCACGTTTCTAAATAATCAATGGATCAAATAAGAAATCAGGATGGAAATTGGACAACATTTTGATATGTATGATTTTGAAATTATGACATATTAACCTGTGAGATGCAGCTAAAGCAGTACTTAGAGAAACATTTATAGTCTTAAATGCATATGTCACACATCTTAATTTCTCATCATTACAGCTAGAGATGGGGTGGGACAAGGCTTCCAAACTTCTCTATCGGGGATGATGATCTATGGCTTGTAGTCAGTTATCTCCTTAGCTACACACACTTCCTAAATCAATAGTTTTCAGAGTTTTGAACACTGATTTCAACAGAACATGACTTTAACCAGAACATGGCCTTTAAAGAGAATTGGGTTTAAAATCCTGGTTCTCTTACATGGCAAGATGTTTCAACTAAGACAGAAGGGAGTTCTTTAGCCATTGCTGGAGCCCCAGTGTTCCTGGCTGTTCATTCCTCACCTCACCATCCTTCCTGTCTGTTTATGTCCAGTTATGGGAAAGCAGCTTTTCAACAGGCCACTGCTTGTCAGCTGTCGTGTAGACAGAGGCAGATGGCACCAGGTCAAGTCAGCCAGGCTTGGCTCAACATCTTTCTGCAGTCTCAATTTGGGAGGGTGGCTCCAGGCTTTCAGATGCCTGTTCCCCACATCTGACCTGTTGCTGGTGACCCAGCTTCAATGTCCTGGCCCTCCTTGGCTCCAGTTGGCAGCAGTTCTCAGCCCTCCTGCTGTGCTCCCACTGTGTCCTCACAGATGGCCATAGCTCCTGGTGATCACACCCTTCTGCTGGAGTCCCAGCATGCCTGGATGCTCACCCTCAACCTCACCTCCACTCCCTGTCAGGCAACCCCTCCTGCCTACTCCTACCGGAAGCCAACTTCTCACTCTAAACTTTTGGTCGAAATTCCCAGTCCTATTCTCCTAGGTCCCTCCCAGGGATACTGACTTTTTCTTTCAGGATAAGACAATGTAGTGAATGACTAACAAGAGGAAAATCTCCAACCCTGCCTTGCAATGTGGGGAAGGCAGGAAATAGTAAAGACTTTGAACCTTAATTAGTGTTGTCCACTGCCCTCCAAAAAACCAGTGCCCACAGTGTTGATATGAGTGTTCATATCAAATAGATAGAGTTTGAAGATGGTGATTTAAATGTAAAGTACACATGCTGTTCAACTAAGTCATCTTATTTCTAGACAGCTATGGAAGGCTGAATAATGGCCCTCCAATGATGTCCATGTCTTAATTCTTACATCTTGCAAATATTTATATTACATTACATGGTAAAACGGACTTTGCAGATGTGATCAAGGACCTTGAGATAAGAGGATTGTCCTGGGTCATCCAGGAAGGTCCATTGTAATCACAGGGGTCCTTATATAAGAGAAGCAGGCAGATCAGTCAGAGAGGGGAGATGGGATGACAGAAGTGAGGTTGGGGTGATGTACTTTGAAGTTGGAGTAAGGGGCCACTGGCCAAGAAATCCAGGCAGCCTCTGGAAGTTGGAAAATCAAGGAACTGGATTCTCTATCCTAAAGCCCAGAGAAGGAACACCGGCAGGCTTCCCCCTTGATTTTAGCTCAGTGAAGCTGACTTCATACTTCTGACTTCTACAACTGTAATAGAATAAACGGGTGTGTTTTAAGCCCCTAAATGTGTGGCAGTTTGTTACAAGTGCAATAGGAAGCAAATAGCATCAAAAGAAAGAATTCCTATAGGCGTGTACCAGGCTGTTTATTGCAGCATTGTTCCAAGTTTTAAAAATTAGTAACAACTGCGAAGGCGAATCCTTGCCTTGTCAGTAGGCAAGGATTTAACAGCCTGGTGCAGACATGCTGGCGAATATTACATAGCCTTTTTGTGTACTGACATGCTGGGCTCTCCAGGATATGTTAAATGATGATAGGAAATTGTGGGTTGGTTCACACAGAATGATTCCTCCCTTATGCACCTGTGCAGGTAATACACACACACACACACACACACACACACGTCTCATTCCCTTGAAGAGTTTTCAGGATTGAGGAAGGTCCTTCCTGGCTGTTGGGCCACCAGCTAGTTGAGTGGCAACTTGGGTCCTAGAATAGCCTTTTTGGATCGGGAGAACCTCAGAAAAGACCAGAATAGACTGAAGGCCCTAGGGACATCTGTGGCATCTCCCCCATTTCTGTTTCCTCCCACACTCTGTGCATGACTTAAAGCTTGAGGCAACCACAGCGGCCACACACAGGTGAGGAAACAGAAGCCCCAGGACCAGCGGGGCCACTGAGAGAGTTGGTGGCTGAGCAGGGCGGCTGCCCAGCCTGCAGCCCCCTGTGACGTATTTGCAAACACGAGGAGTTTTGAGCTGCAGAACCATCCCATTTTCCGTGGTGCAGGCTCAAGTTCCCGCCCTGATTTTCTGGGCTTAATCCTCTTCCTGTGGAAATCAATAAGGACATTGTGATGGAATGATTCACGTTCAAGGTCAGGCCGGAGCAAATTGGAGGCGACATGCTGATTTTACTACCCTCACTGTGAGGAGAGCCAATCCTGTTCACAGACCTCTTAACCCTTTCCTTGTCACTCTGGTAGGCACTGTCAGCACAGGCCCCCTCCCCAGGCCCAGGTCCCCCTGGCCTCCTCACCCATGTGTGGCGCTTTTATTTACACTTTTCCGAGGTTCTGACCACACAAGGCCTTGCAGTCTTGCATACTTGTCATGGTGGTTTGGGGAAGCCAGGCAACAGGTTCAGGAACAGCTTCAAACTGGAAGTCAAATGCTACATGTCTAACTTTAGCTTTGTTGCTAACATCCTGTTCCTTTCCCTTCACCAGAGCTGTTCCCCTTCCAACCCTCTTTTCTGAGTTCCAGACCCCTCTGCCCTGCTTTCTGGGTGGTCCCAGATGGGGAGGTAGAGGAGAGGATACCAAATTCCTCACTTATTTTTTTCACACACAGCAAGTCAGATCTTCTCTGAGGATCAAACATGATAGAAGCTTATTCCTTTCTCCTATTAAAAAAAACACCCATAATCAGTGGGTAGCTAGAGCTTTATGTCCAGAATAATTTAGGGATCCTGGCCCCTCTGTCTTGATGTTCTGCCACCTTCAGCACGGGCCTCCCGGGGTCACTGTGGTTTCAGGCATCAGCCAGCCGAGGTGTGGGGAGAGCATGTGCGGAAAGCTTGCAGAGCCCAGGACTGAAAGTGGCTCACTCCCTTCCACTCGGATTCTACTGTCCTGAACAGGGGTATGCGCCACACCTCAGTACAAGAAAGACTGAGGAATGTAGTCCAGCTGCGTGGCCAGGAAGATGGGTCTGGTGGGCAGTGCTATCTCAGTGCGGACGTGGAGAGAGTGAGGAGGACAACGCTAGGAAGTGTGGCTGGAAGAGAAGAGACGGCGTATGAGTTAGGGGAGGTTGATCTGACGATTTGAGGAAGGCAGTGATTTGACCCTATTCCCTGGAGGAGCCAGTGGAGACAGAAAGGTTTTGCTGTGGAGAGAATTCAGGGTCTCAGAGGGCCACAGCTGGCATGAGGAGGGACAGTGATGACACAGACACCTCTGGTTGGGCAGAGCCTACCTTAGGTCTTTCTTTATCTCTGTATTCCCAACATGGAACACTGAGGGCACCGGAGAATGAGTGTGAACATACCTCTAAGCCTGAAGGTGAGGAGCCCAGCCAGCAAAGAGTTAAAGGGTGCAGGGGTGGGCAGAGCCGGGGAGCCAGGTGCTCCCCAACATACTGTGCGGTGCCAGTTAATCCCCTGCAGCAGGCAGGAGGCCTGCACAGCTGTCTCTCCTGAGCTGGGATTGCATGCTTCCCCCTCCCTCTGCCATTCCCCTGATGCCCCCAGCCCTTGCCCAGAGAACACAGCACCCCAGGGATTGGGTGGGGGTGGGTTGAGATGGGCAGGCAGCATGCTGGGTAACTGGTCCAGCCCCTGCACCCTTGGAGAACTCATTCTCTAGAGATAAACCATTGTCTAGCTTACTTCTCACTGGCTATGAAGACCCCACTTCCCCCAAGCCAGCCAAACCCAAATCTTATAGCTGCTCCTCCCACAGAGTATCCATTCCTGCCTCTGTGTCTTTGCCTCACCTGAAGTGCCCTTTTCCTCCTCTCCCTTGGCAGTTTCTGCCTAGCCTGCAGAGCAGCTACAAAACAGCAGCCCCTGGGACCCCTCCCTTTGGCCTCTAACCCTTCAGCCCAGGGTTCTGCTTGATTTGGGCTTCCCATGCCAGCCTGTATCTGCACT